GAGACATATTGGAGAACTTTGGTGGGGATTTTATTTATCAGATAGCAAGCTGATACCACCGCATCTCCCCAAAATCTCTTAGGAACATTGGTGTGAAACATCGTGCTCCTTGCAACCTCCATAAGATGGCGATTCTTTCTTTCAGCTACTCCATTTTGTTGGGGTGTGTAAAGACAACTTGTTTGATGTATAATCCCATGTTTTGTTAAGTGATGTTTGAAAGCATTGCTTGTATATTCTCCCCCATTATCAGACCTGAAAATTTTGATCTTGGAATTGAAATGGTTAGATATATAGTTTTGGAAGTTAATAAAAGCTTCTAAAACCCTATCTTTAGTTTGAATCAGGGTGAGCCAAGTATATTTTGATTTTTCATCTATGAATGTAACAAAATACTTATGATTCTCCCTAGACACGCAAGGAGCAGTCCAAACATCAGAATGCACAAGATCAAAACAATTCTCGTAAAATAGTCATTGATTTAGGAAAGACAGACTTCTGATGTTTACCAAGAATACAAGCCTCACAACTTCCATTCTTAAAAGATAGATTAGGTAACATCAAACCTAAGGCACGAGAATGAGGATGACCTAATCTAGCATGCCATAACACATCACTAGCTAAAACAGAAGTAGAATTAAAAGCACAAGATAAATCTGAAACTTTGGTGTCTTCAAGCAAATATAGCTNTCTTCTAGTGGTGTTTTAGCTACTCTTGCTCCAAGTTTTCCTGCCTCATTTAAAAGATCAAGTGTGTACTTTCTTTGAGATAAGAAAAGCCCCTCTTTAGAGCGGCATATTTCTATCCCTAGAAAGTACTTTAGCTCACCCAAATCTTTAATATCAAAGGTAGACTTAAGAAAAGCTTTAGTAGAGATGATACCTTCCTGTGATGATAATATCATCCACATAGATCAGTATCACGATAATTCCTTGCTTGCTTGTGAGGGTGAAAAGGGTATGATCAGCTTCTTATTTTACAAACCCTCTTCCATTGAGAGTTGTGCTCAGTTTGTGATACCATGCTCTTGGTGACTGTTTTAATCCATAGATTGCTTTCTTCAATCTTAGTACATTTCCTGGCTTGACCATATCTTCCATACCCGGAGGTGGCTTCATGTAAACCTCATCTTCAAGCTCTCCTTGAAGAAAATCATTCTTGACATCCATCTGCCATAAATCCCATTCCAAGTTCACAGCTAGAGAGAGTAGAATCCTTATAGTATGCAGCTTAGCTACTGGTGCAAAGGTATCTAGGTAGTCTTCTCCGTATACTTGAGTGTACCCTCTTGCAACTAGTCTTGTCTTCTTCCTTTCTGGTTTTCCATTAGCAAGATATCTGATGGTGAAGAGAAGCATGCTGGTCACAGCTTTCTTGCCTTTAGGTAGTTCGGTTTCATACCAAGTACCATTTCGGATCATGGCACCAACCTCATCTCCAACTGACTCTCTCCACTCTTCATGTTCCATGGCTTCTTCATAAGTCTTTGGGACGTACTCTTGATCCAGATTGCTGATGAAGACTACATGCTCTTGAGG